TACTACTACTACTACTACTACTACTACTACTACTACTACTACTACTACTACTACTACTACTACTACTACTACTACTACTACTACTACTACTACTATCATTATGTAAACCGGGCAGATGGCTTGCAGAGGTCCAGCTTGTTTACTATAATTTCTCTGTCGTTTCAGGCTGCATGCCACGCTCGTTCGTTCTCTTCATTTCATGCCAGATCTTGCTCGGGCGAGCTTTCCATGACAGAAACTCAATCAAAGATTGGTTATAGTTTATTGGGTGTTTGTGTGTTGACAGGAGGGGGGGGGAGGAGGGGGTAGCTGTGCTTTTTCAAAATTATCACTATATCTTTTTTATTATTTGAAGAGCACAGGGGTAAAACGACCAAAGTCACAAACTAGAAATTGTGAGGGTGCCAATTTCAAAAGCTTGAGAACTCATAACTTCATATTTATTTGACTGGTGGTTAATTGTTAGGTGTTGTAGAATGGGCAATCTAATAACAGTAATCAACCAACAGTTGAACAGAAATACAGTCACGAGTCAACAAGCGTTCAAAATTGATACCCTCACGATGTTACGGTTGTTTCCCCACTGTGGTCTTCATTTGGTTTGGGAGGGTGTAAGGAGGGGAGGTCTTTAAACACGTAATGTGGTATCGATATCAATAATATAAATAAGAAATGTGTTGTAATGGACTCGATATTTGGCTGTGTTTATCGGCCAAGTAGAACGTAGAGCCCCCACAGACCTGTAACATGAGCCGCACTGCCGGCGATATACATTGTAACAGTTGACCATTCATGTGGCCGTCGCTTCGGCTTGAGGTGTGTGTGTGTTTGTGTTTATATTTGTATTGTAGGGTCTGTGCCATGAGGAATCGTTCTGCTGTTTAATTTTTTAAATACTTATTAATTTTCTTGCTTATTGAACTATTTATTTATTTGTTTATTATCATGAATTGTTTATTGAACTATTTATTTATTTGTTCATTATCATGAAGATTGCCATGTTATTATCTTGTATAGATGTTAACCAGATTTTGTTAGTTTAAAAAAAAACCCTAAAATTTCTCTTCGTGGAAATGGAAAGTGCGTGATTTTTGTGTCGTGAAAGAAATCTGTGCACTGGTAGGTTTTTGCATTTGCGGGCTGAAAGTGAGCAAAGATCCTGTTACTATAAACGGATAACTGGTGGTGTCATCTTTGGCTCAGAACACATAATATTCTCGGGCTTCGTACTACTTACTGTTGAGTTTGAAATGTCATGAAAGAAAGTATGACAATGATCTAATACTAGACTGTTAAACTGATTGGGAAAAATTGTATTATCCTTATCCCAGTAATTGCAGGGGGGCTCTCGTGGCCTAGAGGTTAAGGTGTTGGCCTCTCATTCAAAGGTCCCGGGTTCGATTCCGGGTAGCGACCAAAAATTTTTCTTCTCTAAAATTGTCTCCTTTCACACCCTTTCCTGATCTCTAACAATGTTCTGTTGTCTGTTTTCATTTCCACTTTCTGCCCCCACCCCCTCACCCCCTTTGCCCCCTCCTCTGGGCTCCTGACTCTTTCTGCAGCCTTTCTACTGCTACTCCCTGGCTCCTCCTAACTGCTGTCTTTCTGCCACACCCCTGATCTTCTGGTAGGAAAGATCTACACCTAGCCTTCTCGGACAAGGGCGAAAAATCTCGGAGGGCCCGTGTGCAAGTTGCGCACGTTAAAGATCCCTTGGTGGTCTAAAATCGATAAGAGTAGGCTTCGGCCGCCACCCGGGCAAAATTCAAAATTTCCTACCAACGAAAAAGTATTAGGTGTGTCCCGCGCGCTCATATGACCTTATGCAGTTGCGAGCGCCGTAAAACCCTATACTAAACAAACAAACAAAGTAATTGCAGTAATCATAAAGAACTGTTCTGATGCTGTGTTGTGGTGGGTGACATTGTTCACCGATGTAAATAAGGGAAGAAAATAATGAACAGTGACTTTTAAAAACTCATATTCAAATGTATGACTTGATGTGAACACGTCTATACACTGTAAACTAGTTTTGAAAAGTGATGTGTCATATTTGACGCTTACATCTTTGAAAAGTTTGCAGAGACAGTAAATAATTTAGAAACTTTTAAGGAGATCCAAACTAGTGAAGTCATTACATCCAGTTAAAATCTGGTTCGACTGAATATGAGTTCAATGATCTTCAGTGGAAGAGATCAGAATATTAATGGAAGATTTCAATGAGGATGGATAACCGGTGCTCTGGTGTGGTTTCATCATTCTTTCCAAATCAAACGTCTATCTTTCTTATATCTCCTACTTCTTTCAATTATATGCTGCTATACAGTAAACTCTTTAATTGTCGGCACTTATATAACATAACTGTGTTGCAAGTGCCGTAAAACTTACCCCCAAAACATTTCGATACAGAGCAAGTACAACGAGTCTGCTCTTAGGAAACGTATGTCGAACCTGTTTTATTTCTTCTCTCTCTGTATATATCCATGTGGAAACGTGTTTGTTACCTTCATCATGCCAGTGACCACTACCACATTGTGAGTAGTAAAAGAACATGTGTCACGACGTGGTAGAATCAGGCGCTCGTCAATGTTTGGGCATGTGGAGCTATAGGTACCATCTTAAAGCTTGTGCCTCTTTTTATCTTTAGATGAAAAAAAAATTCCATCTTAAATAGAAGTCGAGATATTTGCGAGTGAAGGAGATGGGGGTCGCCTTGTTTCAGAGGTAAAATTAACGAGGATATGGCCACCAAAGTTAGGTAACTTCTATAACTAAAGAGTCCTTGAAAACTGAAAATTTGCAAACTTTTTGTACAGTTAAACAAAAATTCGACAAAAAGTGCCATACTGACACGCAAAATACTCATATATTCGATTTGATTATTTTTTTACGAGCGTTTAATTTCACCACGATACCTAAAAAATTACCACAAACTTCCCTAATAATTTAACACGACTCATCATTTAATCTTATTGTCCCCAGAGCGTACGTCGATGCGAGTGACGACGAAAAAAGTACATGGGAAAAACTGAGACGATTGCAGGCTTTCTTTACTCGCCTTGGACGTGTCCTTCCCAATGGCATACAAAACTCTCAATAATACACAAGAAAGTGAAAAAGTAGTTGGTTGTTGTCGGTCACAGTTGTGTAACAACACCCTTTTGTTGAGCCAATGTTTATGTGTAGTGCTAGGCTGAAGGACACATCCCACTGACCACCAACCTTAACACTGTGTCTCTAACATTGCTTGACACGATTTCATTGTGTGATTGTTAGCCTTAATTTGCAAACCATTTGGCCATTGAAGCTTCCCTATCTCATTATGGAAGGAACAACACTAAACAAGAAGATGACTCCCCTTCATAGACGGTTCTCATGCCCTGACGGGAAACTGGCTTTTTCAAACGCTCACAGTGAAGAGTCGGGCTTAAAGAAACGGACGTTTAATCGAGAAGAGACAGTTTTAAGTGAAACTTTTGATTTGAATTTGGACTTCCGTACAACGAAACTTTCCACTGATTTGATAACGAAAGACAGAAATGAGAACGTGAAACCTGGAGGAGAGAGTTTAAATGGTCGACGAAGAGAAAAGACGTTCATCAATTGTTCTTCAATATTGGAAAACCCTCACACAGACAGAGGTACATATGACAATGGAAAATCTAAAAGAGACATCTATATGCGAGAACGCCCTAAAACCTCTGTGGGAGTTGGCAGAGCTTCATACTTGGCACAAAAACGTTATTCATTACCCATAATTCACCAGACATCAGACGACGGACTAACTCGCGACCTGACCCGACGTACGGGGCCGAGGCTATCAGCGCCAGGACTGATGGTCAAGTCAGCTGGCGGAGGAAAGAAGGAGAACTTTCTCAACACCCGGAGAAGCAGCCATGACAGTGTTGACAGGTTACATTTTTCGGCTATTTATGTATCGTTCTTCTTTGTTTTTGTTGTTTCTGTTTGGTTTAGTTTATTCGGATAAAAGAACCATATCGACACAATAACCAACAACCCCCCCCCCCCCCAAAAAACCCCAAAACAACAACAAAAAACCCAAACAAAACCCAAAACAAAAAGAAAATAGACCGGGAAAAACAGGAAAGGAAAAAAAAAAGATGCAGTACTTAACAATGGCACCCTCCAGCCACTCAACATATATCTATAAGTTGTCGAATCTTGTACATATGTTGAGTAAATTAATAGTTATCACTTTAAAATATAGAGTAATAACTTACCGTTCACCCTGGGAAACATATTAATAACGACATGACAAAGTATTGACTCTTTAACAAACAAATGTTAATGGTTCTGTTTTATTATGTGGCGGGTGTATGTCGATGTCAATAGTCTTCATGGGTACTGTATCATTTTTTTTTTACAAGTTATACTACTACAAGAACCAGCAATTATCTTTTCATAAATCCTTCAAACATACTACTCCTACTCCTACTCCTACTCCTACTCCTACTCCTACTCCTACTACTACTACTACTACTACTACTACTACTACTACTACTACTACTACTACT